GGTGTTGCTGTACAAGCTGACCAAGAAGGACAAGTACAAGCAGGACATTGTCCAGACCTACCAGGACTGGATGCCCGGCGGCTCGATCCCATACACCCCCAACGGCCTCGCCTACAGACTGCAGTGGGGAGCCATCAGATATGCCAGTACGTACATTCCACCCTGATACAACAACCCACTATAGTGGGGAGCCATCAGATATGCCAGTACGTACATTCCACCCTGATACAACAACCCACTACAGTGGGGAGCCATCAGATATGCCAGTACGTACATTCCACCTGATACAACAACCCACTACAGTGGGGAGCCATCAGATATGCCAGTACGTACATTCCACCCTGATACAACAACCCACTACAGTGGGGAGCCATCAGATATGCCAGTACGTACATTCCACCTGATACAACAACCCACAGCAGTGGGGAGCCATCAGATATGCCAGTACGTACATTCCACTCTGATACAACAACCCACTACAGTGGGGAGCCATCAGATATGCCAGTACGTACATTCCACCCTGATACAACAACCCACTACAGTGGGGAGCCATCAGATATGCCAGTACGTACATTCCACCCTGATACAACAACCCACAGCAGTGGGGAGCCATCAGATATGCCAGTACGTACATTTCCATTCCACTCTGATACAACAACCCACTACAGTGGGGAGCCATCAGATATGCCAGTACGTACATTCCACCCTGATACAACAACCCACTACGGTGGGGCCATCCATATGCCAGTACGTACATTCCACCCTGATACAACAACCAACAGCGGTGGGGGCCAGATATGCCACAATAGTACGTACATTCCACCCTGATACAACAACCCACTACAGTGGGGAGCCATCAGATATGCCAGTACGTACATTCCACCCTGATACAACAACCCACTACAGTGGGGAGCCATCAGATATGCCAGTACGTACATTCCACTCTGATACAACAACCCACTACAGTGGGGAGCCATCAGATATGCCAGTACGTACATTCCACCTGATACAACAACCCACTACAGTGGGGAGCCATCAGATATGCCAGTACGTACATTCCACCTGATACAACAACCCACCGGTGGGGAGCCATCAGATATGCCAGTACGTACATTCCACTGAGTGGGTGGGGAGCCATCAGATATGCCAGTACGTACATTCCACCTGATACAACAACCCACTACAGTGGGGAGCCATCAGATATGCCAGTACGTACATTCCACCCTGATACAACAACCCACATCAGATATGCAGTGGGGAGCCATCAGATATGCCAGTACGTACATTCCACTCTGATACAACAACCCACTACAGTGGGGAGCCATCAGATATGCCAGTACGTACATTCCACTCTGATACAACAACCCACTACAGTGGGGAGCCATCAGATATGCCAGTACGTACATTCCACTCTGATACAACAATCCTCTCTCTTGGGGAGCCATCAATGCCAGTACGTACATTCCACTGATTTTCCTCTCTCTGGGGGAGCCTAACACTTACTTTTGTACCGACAATAGGTATATGGCGGGTGTTATGGTAGAGTAAAACATGCTAACCCTTACCCCAAAATAACTGATCAACACTTTTAGCACAAAATGTGAAAATTGTCTTTACAAGCAGCAAGTCATCACCAGTCTACGTCTCGACCGCGGGATGGCATGTTTCGCGTGACCATAAAGGGGTATTTAGAACAGGTGCAGAGACGGGTCACTGTCTACGTGTTCTTGAAATGCTAACCCCTGAAGCAAACCTCAAGGCATGAATGTTATTATTTGCCCAAACTAGCAATCGATGATGGAGATATCGAAGATATGACTCAATAATCTGCCTTAATCATAAACCAGAATCCCTCGACCACTTCAACAGCCTTGGTACGATGAGTATGCCCACTGTAGTACTTACCTGGGTCATCCTTATTATGATTTAGGGTGAAGGGGATAGCTTAGTTGTTAAACCGTTCGCTCGTCACGCCGAAAAGTAGGGTTCGATTCCCTACATGGGTTCAATGTGTGAAGCCTATTTCTGGTGTCCCCTGTCGTGACATGGCAGGAACATTGCTGAAAGCCAAATTCACTCACTGGTGTTCCATGTAGATAAGGGTCAAGAGTGGCCCTATCTTTTGATGTGCGTACCTGAAATGAGTCAGAAACCATTGATAGAGGGTTCGAACCCTGTTTCGCCTATATTACTTTTCCAGGGTATCAAACGATTACCCCCTAAATTACTTGGCGCCTTCAACAGCATCCATCTACTGTGATTCACACAGTTCAAAACCCTTTCAAATTCTCTGCAGATAACATGGCGTTCACGGCACTGATGGCAGCAGAAGAAGGCCTCAGTCCTGCGGCGTACAGGAAGTGGGCTATGAGTCAGGTTCACTTCGCACTGGGAGATGCTGGCCACAGCTACGTTGTTGGATTCGGAAAGAACGCCCCTCAACGCCCCCACCACAGGGGAAGGTAAGTTACAGATGGGTCTATACCCCTCAACGCCCCCACCACAGAGGAAGGTAGGGAAGGTAAGTTACAGATGGGTCTATACCCCCAAGGTACAGGATGGGTTACAGATGTCTATACCCCTCAACGCCCCCACCACACAGGAAGGTAAGTTACAGATGGGTCTATATCCCTCAACGCACCCTCACCACAGCCCCCACCACAGGGAAGGTAGGTTACAGATGGTCACATCACCACAGGGGAAGGTAAGTTACAGATGGGTCTATACCCTCAACGCCCCCACCACAGGGGAAGGTAAGTTACAGATGGGTCTATACCCCTCAACGCCCCCACCACAGGGGAAGGTAAGTTACAGATGGGTCTATACCCCTCAACGCCCCCACCACAGGGGAAGGTAAGTTACAGATGGGTCTATACCCCTCAACGCCCTCACCACAGAGGAAGGTAGGTTACAGATGGGTAATGGGTAGGGAAATCTATCTGGTTCATCTGTTGCTCACTAATATGTACATTTCCAATTTAAATTGAGCAAATGGATAAATATGTAAATATAAAGTTACATGTTTCAACTACCATATGAGGCACTTAGAAATATAAATGAAGCTATTTCTTATGATAAGTCATATTTACCTATCCTTCTAAATATTCAACTCATTAGCTGATGACTTCTGTTTAAGCTCCTGCCCAATGATGCCTGCTCCCTGTGGCTGGAACGACCAGCGCCAAGCGGGCCCGAACCCCCACACACTATTTGGGGCGTTAGTGGGGGGACCGGACAAGTCCGGGTCCTACTCCGACAAGCGAGATGACTATGTCAGGAACGAAGTAGCGTGTGACTACAACGCCGCCTTCCAGGGAGGAGTTGCAGGTGCGTGAACACAGTCAGCTTCATCCTTCCACAGGGTAGCCTGTTGGGTAACGTTCGCTGGTGAAAGACCCTTGTTCGATTCCCTCATTCATTACGCGAGGAGCCAATGTCCTATATCTACCGCCGCAGTAATGATGGAAGTTTACTCAAATCGGTATGAAACCATTTTTGGTCACTCAGTGATAAGCCTGGTGTTTCAGTTAAAAACCATCCTATTTTTCTACAGGGTATTTTCTGCCTAGCTTCTAAGAGAAATGATGTTTATGTGAGTGATTCTTTGACATAAAGAATGTAGTGACGTGATGTATAATGGAGAGTTGTTGTAACACGTGTATGCATCCATAAGGAATGTATTTTCTATTGTTTCAGCTCTGAAATCGCTGTACTTGAGGAAGCTATACCCGAACTAAACTCAACATACTTGTTTACATTATCATGGAATAAATACTATACACTTGTACACTTCTAATCCGAGTCGTCTCTTTTTTGACACTTTAGATAACAATCCTCTGATACTGTCAATGTGCCTACGTTCTTATATGGAGCCAGACTTGCAGGCGTATAGTCTTTGACGGAGTCGTATTTGTCTGCTTTCTGACACAGTCATTGAAACAACACTGAAGCAATATAAAACATCCCTCTGGTGCTGTGTGTAGGGAAGGCAAGCGTTCTTAAGGCAGAACAGTGTGCTGTGATCGTATCCTCAAGCAACCGGGTTGTTTTTCAGCCTATAGACACAACGTTTACAGGTTTTAGGGTGTTGTCACTTCCGGGGTGTACAGTACATAGAATATCCTCAGACGTACAGTACACAGGTGGCAGAGTCTTTTGTGGCAAGGGACTTAGTTCAAACGTGCCTCTGTTCACCAGCAGGGAATGGTACTAGCGTGGGTGTAAAAACTCCGAAGCTAGTAGAGAATGATATGTGGAATGCATGCGTATACACCACATGTGGGCCGTTACTACTGACTGACTGACTGAGTTTGGTTTTACGCCGCTTTTAGCAATATTCCAGAAACATCACGGCGGGGGACACCAGAAATGGGCTTCACACATTGTACCCATGTGGGGATTCGAACCCGGGTCTTCGGCGTGACGAGCCAACGCTTTAACCACTAGGCTACCCCACCGCCCCTGGGCCGTTACTAGAACCTGGACGATACAATAATGACTTGGTTATAAAACGTTATTCATTAAACCCAGCGGTATGCTGATCACAAACCAAGAATCCTAATAAAAACGAATCAGAGACTCAACACCAGGTCATCGGATTCTGGCAAGACTAAGCGTTTGGCAGCAAAGATGGCTCGGACAACCATTAGGCTAAATATACAGACAATGCCTGTGAGGATATATAGTTATAAACATAAGACACAAAAATGTCTGTCTGTCTGTCTCTCTCTGACTGTGTAAGTCTGTTGTAATGAGTGAGTGAGTGAGTTAAAATGTAACGTCACATCGGCAATATTTCAGCCATATCGTGACGACTGTTGTAATGAGATAATGATTGGCTGACATGCATAGTGACGATGATGACCTAATTTATATATGTATTCTATAAATATAAGAATATATACTATAAACTATGTATATATAAGTGTCGATTTGTAAACCAGAGCATTTCCTGAAATGGCGTGTCTTATGTCTTTACAAATCATAACAAAAGACCAGGATCTTCAATAATGGATGCCGTGTTGACTTTATTACTGTCAATATTTGCAGCAGGATAGGCTGTCTAAGGGCAGATGTCCTTGTATGTTGCTGGAAGCTCATGTGTAAGAGCCAGGTGTTCCAGCGCTGAAACAGGAACATGGTAATATTCTTACACATGGAACACAGCTTTAAAGATCATGTGAATTTATTAAGATAAAATTCCGTATGGAGGTTTAATTATTATCGATCGATGTAATCTGGCAATGTAATGTAATTCAGAGCATAGCGATTCCATTGGGAGTAAAAGGCAAATTATTTGAAATGAATTAAATGGATCACTGGTCTGGGTTTTGTACAAAGGCGTCTCGTAGATTCTTGGATATTATCAACGTTACAGCAATACCATATTATGAAGATATTTCGATAGATTTATGCAGTTCGGGATATATGAAAAATCAGAAAAGGCGTTGCTTAAGATGATTTCCGGGTATGTGTGTTTTGCTGGCTTTTGGTTTGCTCTGAAACTGACCGCTAGATGGCATCTTTCGATTTATTATACGGTCAGCTTTGCCGTTTTATACATGCTTCAAAATTGCTTTATTATCAACACACCTGCCGTCGATGCGTGCATGCCGGCGTTGTAGTCGCACGCCACCTCGTTCTTCACGTAGTCCATTCTGCTGTCGGTGTAGTCGTCGCCCTGACCTGGGCCGCCCACCATGGCGCCGTACAGGGTGTGTGGGTTAGGGCCTTTGTTAAGCTGGGCGTCCCATCCACATGGCGCCGGCAGCATCGGACAGGAACTGGTTGAAGGAAGCATGGAAAACTTTCATGTAGCAGATAGACACGTCCATATCATAATATAAAATGTCAAAACTCGGACAACCATTAGGTTAAGTATACAGACAATGCCTGTGAGGATATCTAGTAATAAACATATGACTGTAAATGTAAATGTCTGTCTGTCTGTCTGTCTCTGTCTGACTTTCTGACTGTGTAAGTCTGTTGTAATGAGATAATGATTGGCTTACGATGCATAGTGACGATGATGACCTAATTTATATATATATATATATATATATATATATATATATATATATATATATATATATATATATATATATATATATATATATATATTGTATAAATATAAGAATATATACTATATTGTTAAGTGTCGATTTGTAAACCAGAGCATTTCCCTGAAATGGCGTGTCTTATGTCTTTACAAATCATAACAAAAGACCAGGATCTTCAATAATGGATGTCGTGTCGACTTTATTACTGCCAATATTTGCAGCAGGATAGGCTGTCTAAGGGCAGATGTCCTTGTATGTTGCTGGAAGCTCATGTGTAAGAGCCAGGTGTTCCAGCGCTGAAACAGGAACATGGTAAACTATTCTTACACAAGGAACACAGCTTTAAAGATCATGTGAATTTATGAAGATAAAATTCCACATGCAGGTTTAATTATTATCGATCGATGTAATCTGGCATGTAATGAAATGTCAGAGAAGGCGTTGCTTAACATGATTTCCGGGTATGTGTCTTTTGCTGGCTATTTTGTTTGCTCTGAAACTGACCGATAGAGGGCGCCGTACAGGGTGTGTGGGTTAGGGCCTTTGTTAAGCTGGGCGTCCCATCCACATGGCGCCGGCAGCATCGGACAGGAACTGGTTGAAGGAAGCATGGAAAACTTTCATGTAGCAGATAGACACGTCCATATCATAATAAAAAATGTCAAAAAAATTACTACTGACTGACTGACTGAGTTTGGTTTTACGCCGCTTTTAGCAATATTCCAGAAACATCACGGCGGTGGACACCAGAAATGGGCTTTACACATTGTACCCATGTGGGGATTCGAACCCGGGTCTTCGGCGTGACGAGCCAACGCTTTAACCACTAGGCTACCCCACCGCCCCTGGGCCGTAACTAGAACCTGGACGATACAATAATGATTTGGTTATAAAACGTTATTCATTAAACCCAGCGGTATGCTGATCACAAACAAAGAATCCTAATAAAAACGAATCAGAGACTCAACACCAGGTCATCGGAATCTGGCAACACTAAGCGTTTGGCACCAAAGATGGCTCGGACAACCATTAGGTTAAGTATACAGACAATGCCTGTGAGGATATCTAGTAATAAACATATGACTGTAAATGTAAATGACTGTCTGTCTGTCTGTAATGAGTCTGACTGAGTGACTGTGTAACTGTTGTATCGAGATAATGATTGGCTTACGATGCATAGTGACGATGATGTAATGAGATAATGATTGGCTGATATATGCATAGTGACGATGATGACCTAATTTATATATGTATTGTATATATATATAAATATATATGTATAAATATAAGAATATATACTATATTGTAAAGTGTCGATTTGTAAACCAGAGCATTTCCCTGAAATGGCGTGTCTTATGTCTTTACAAATCATAACAAAAGACCAGGATCTTCAATAATGGATGCCGTGTTGACTTTATTACTGCCAATATTTGCAGCAGGATAGGCTGTCTAAGGGCAGATGTCCTTGTATGTTGCTGGAAGCTCATGTGTAAGAGCCAGGTGTTCCAGCGCTGAAACAGGAACATGGTAAACTATTCTTACACATGGAACACAGCTTTAAAGATCATGTGAATTTATGAAGATAAAATTCCATATGGAGGTTTAATTATTATCGATCGATGTAATCTGGCCATGTGATGTAATGTCAGAGAATAGCGATTCCATTGGGAGTAAAAGGCAAATTATTTGAAATGAATTAAATGGATCACTGGTCTGGGTTTTGTACAAAGGCGTCTCGTAGATTCTTGGATATTATCAACGTTACAGCAATACCATATTATGAAGATATTTCGATAGATTTATGCAGTTCGGGATATATGAAAAATCAGAAAAGGCGTTGCTTAAGATGATTTCCGGGTATGTGTGTTTTGCTGGCTATTTGGTTTGCTCTGAAACTGACCGCTAGATGGCATCTTTCGATTTATTATACGGTCAGCTTTGCCGTTTTATACATGCTTCAAAATTGCTTTATTATCAACACACCTGCCGTCGATGCGTGCATGCCGGCGTTGTAGTCGCACGCCACCTCGTTCTTCACGTAGTCCATTCTGCTGTCGGTGTAGTCGTCGCCCTGACCTGGGCCGCCCACCATGGCGCCGTACAGGGTGTGTGGGTTAGGGCCTTTGTTAAGCTGGGCGTCCCATCCACATGGCGCCGGCAGCATCGGACAGGAACTGGTTGAAGGAAGCATGGAAAACTTTCATGTAGCAGATAGACACGTCCATATCATAATATAAAATGTCAAAAAATTCCTATAAAATTTCATTTTCAAGAAGTGACCAGCCAGGTGAACAATATTGTTATACGACAACATTTTTATACGTGATGATGAAGTTTGTGATTAATGTGGAAGTTTGTTGCATTCCCAAACCATACATTCATGTTTCAGACATACAGTCACGAGAACAAGTATACATATATACAATGAACACTGAGAATGTACAAACCTCGCTCGGTGATGTGGCTTCACGGGAGGGTTGACACCAAATCCGACAATATAGCTCCTTCCGGTGTCTCCGTAGGCGTAATGCAACTGCGACATCGCCCACTTCCGGTATTCCTCTGTGTGGAGGCCGTTGTCCGCGGCGACGAGGGCGATGAAAGCCGTGTTGGCTGGAAGTGACATGAGTGACTGAATGGTGAGGCTCTTTAAACGGAATTAGTGTATTGATATACCACACCGAATATATTCACGTTTATTCAAACCTTCTGCAATACGACTGTAAATCTAGGTTTCGCTTAAATAAACGCATTTGTGAAACGATAAACCATTTGTAACTGCCCCGCTACGCGAGATAGATATTATGTCTTTTAACTGATCGCTATCTGTGCAACACAGATCATACGAACATGATGTTACAAACAGGCATATCTGAGCGCTCCCCACTGTAGTCTGAACGCCATGCACTTGGGACTGTAGGGGACATCTCCACCGGGAAGCCACATCGTGAACGTGTCCTCGATGTCCTTCTTGTATATGTCCTTCTTGGTCTCCTCATACAGCAGCATCTGAAGGACGAGGACATCGTGTAGGTAAAGGTTTAGGATCATCTGCTGACATGTGTACGCAGAGTGGAGTGAGTGAGTGAATGACAGTCATACTTGTATAATAATTGAGTGAGTTAGTTTTACGCCGCTTTCAGCAAAATTCCAATAATGGCTCATGGCACGATGCACTAGAAATGGACTTTACACTTTGTACCCAAGTGGAGAATCGAACCCGGGTCTTCAGCGTGGCGAGGGAACCACTAGGCTACCCCACCGCCCCTCTCATTTCTTTGAATTTGTATTTCAGAGTATACTAAAACGAGCAACATGCACTGGTGAAAAATATATACACATATTCATTGCATACTGAGAATGTATCCACATGGCGACTGTTATCCATGGAACTAAATATGCCGGTGAAGGTTGATGATAATTTTTAATCATTTCATTCAGATTACATTATCCACACACTGGATGTTATATAATGGACCTGCATTCACCTATGACGGATGTAGAGGATACATTAAGACTGTATACCAGGTTTATATCCACGGAAACGGTAATATACTATTTACACTACCACCCCGTGATATCCATGTACTGTTCGGTTTTAATAATATTATTATTTTTCCTGGATTATCGGCTAATTCTCGACACCTAAATCTAGATGTGACGTACTATCTCTGAATATATTCCTACGAGAAGAAGCAAAAGCAGCACATGTGCATTTCCCTTAGTAAAATAATCCAATCAAACCCTACGTATACGTTCAGTTGAGTATGGCGCCGTGTACGGGGCACACCTTGGTATCCATTCCCCAGTCTACACCGGTGTCAGGACCCGTACTTCGACATGGTTGTGTTTTCCAGCCCGTCAAATTTGCATTGATAATGATAATTCTTGTAAATCTTTAGTGATTTGGGAATACAAAAAGTCTTACATTGTGCTCTAGTATCGTGGTGATATCGGAGGCCAATATTTCTGTCGTAAAACATTGCATACGCCACCGATGGTCCATACTGGAACCTTTATACGTTACGTCATGTACGGGCAGTGCTGAGGGTCAATATGTTAGTATACTGTGTCGCAATTGTACAGTGGACTGATACATTATGATGACGGTTTTATCGCTGTAACTCACGTGTAGAAGCCTGCTGCTGCTGACACACTGGAACTGTAGAAGGCCTGGTGACTTTTACCAAAATCAAACAGTTCCTTAGCATGCTTCAGGAGGATGTCAGAGTAGGCGGGATCTACAATGGCAAGGTCGGGTGTCTTTGATTTGTATTTAGTTCATAGATCAGAACACATGGAAATTGCTAATAGTATTCAGTATCTCTCTAAATATCAAAAGTTTGTTCCTATCTTTCAGCTGGACTTTGATTAATGTATTTAGTTGACAGAACAGAACACACGGAAGTTACTATTCTGAACCTCTAAATTCCAACATGTATCTGCTGGATCCTAGTGGGACCAGTCCAGTATTCACACCCGATAACTCTCGCCATGACAAACAAAGAAATGCGATACAGGAGAAGAGGTACAGACTAGTCTACGGTGCTGCTACTTGCCCTCACTTTTGCTTCCATTATCAAATCCAGGATCCGCTGGTCGCGATTTCGAACACTTCCGTTATGGCCCTGTATGGTCCGTTGTGTGCTGTAGGAGAATGATAACCCCTGCGACCTGTGTACCTTCACGTTTAGTGACACTAAGTTGACATGTTCTAATC